AGTGAGAGGAAGAGAAAAAAAAAAAAAGAGGAAGAAGAACAAAAAGAAATGAACAACAGCAATAAAGAAGAAGAATAAGAAAAAGAAGAAGAAGAAGAAGAAGAAGAAGAAGAAGAAGAGTTTTAAAAAAGAAAAAAGAGAGGAAGTAGAACAATAAAAAAAAGAAAAACACAATGAAAGAAGAAGAAGAAGAAGAAGAAGAAGAAGAAGAAGAAAAAAAGAGAGGAAGAGAGGAAGAGAGAAAAAGAAAAAGAACAATAAAAAGACATGAAACAGCAGCAATAAAAGAAGAAGAAGAAGAAGAAGAAGAAGAAGAAGAGTTTTAAAGTGTGAGGAAGAGAAAAAAAAAAAAAAAAGAGGAAGTAGAACAATAAAAAGACATGAAACAGCAGCAATAAAGAAGAAGAAGAAGAAGAAGAAGAAGAAGAAGAAGAAGAAGAGAAAAAAGAAAAAAAAGAAAAAGTTTAAAAAAAGACATGAAACAACAGCAATAAAAGAAGAAGAAGAAGAAGAAGAAGAAAAGAAGAAGAAAAGTGTGAGGAAAGAGAAAAAGAAAAAAAAGAGAAGTAGAACAATAAAAAGACATGAAACAGAACAATAAAAGAAGAAGAAGAAGAAGAAGAAGAAGAAGAAGAGTTTTAAAGAGGAAGAGAAAAAAAAAAAAAAAGAGAGGAAGTAGAACAATAAAAAGACATGAAACAGCAGCAATAGAAGAAGAAGAAGAAGAAGAAGAAGAAGAAAAAAAAGAAGAGGAAGAGAAAAAGAAAAAAGAGAGGAAGAAGACATGAAACAAATAAAGAAGAAGAAGAAAGAAGAAGAAGAAGAAGAAGAAGAAGAGTTTTTGGAGAGAGAGAAAAGAAAAAAAGAGAGAAGTAGAACAATAAAAAGACATGAAACAGCAAATAAAAGAAGAAGAAGAAGAAGAAGAAGAAGAAGAAGAAGAAAAGTGTGAGGAAGAGAGAAAAAAAAAAAAGAGAGGAAGTAGAACAATAAAAAGACATGAAACAGCACAAAAAAAAGAAGAAATAGAAGAAGAAGAAGAAGAAGAAGAAGAAGAAGAAGAGTTTTAAAGTGTGAAGAAGAGAGAAAAAGAAAAAAGAGAAGAAGACAAAAAAAAAGACAAAAAACAAAATAAAAGAACAAAAGAAAAAGAAGAAGAAGAAGAAGAAGAAGAAGTTTTTAAAGGTGAGGAAGAGAGAAAAAGAAAAAAGAGAGGAAGAAGAACAAAAAAAAGACATGAAACAAAGAATAAAAGAAGAAGAAGAAGAAGAAGAAGAAGAAGAAGAAGAAGAAGAGTTTTAAAGTGTGAGGAAGAGAGAAAAGAAAAAAGAGGAAGAAGAAGAATAAAAAAGACATGAAACAGCAAAAAAAGAAGAAGAAGAAGAAGAAGAAGAAGAAGAAAGAAGTGAGGAAGAACAAAAAAAAAGAGAGGAAGTAAACATAAAAGACATGAAATAAAAGAAAGAAGAAGAAGAAGAAGAAGAAGAAGAAGAAGTTTTAAAGTGTGAGGAAGAGAGAAAAAGAAAAAAAAAAGGAAGTAGAACAATAAAAAGACATGAAACAGCAGCAATAAAAAGAAGAAAAGAAGAAGAAAAAGAAGAAGAAGAAGAAGAAGAAGAAGAAGGGAAGAGGAGGAAAGAGAAAAAAGAAAAAAAGAGGAAAAAGAACAATAAAAAAGACATGAAACAGCAAAATAAAAGAAAAGAAGGAGAAGAAGAAAAAAGAAAAAAGAAGAGTTTTAAAAAAGTGTGAAGGAAGAGAAAAAAAAAAAAAGAGAGGAAGAGAAAAATAAAAAAGACATGAAACAAAGCAATAAAAGAAGAAGAAGAAGAAGAAGAAGAAGAAGAAGAAGAAGAGTTTTAAAGTGTGAGGAAGAGAAAAGAAAAAAGAGAGGAAGAGAACAATAAAAAGACATGAAACAGCAGCAATAAAAGAAGAAGAAGAAGAAGAAGAAGAAGAAGAGTTTTAAAGAGGAAGAGAGAAAAAGAAAAAAGAGGAAGTTAAAAAGACATGAAACAGCAGCAAAAAGAAAAAGAAGAAGAAGAAGAAGAAAAAAAGAAAAAAGAAAAAGAGAGAAGAAGAAGAAGACATGAAACAATAAGAAAAAGAAAAGAAGAAGAAAAAGAGGAGGAGAGAAAGAAAAAGAAAAAACACATGAAACAGCAGCAATAAAAGAAGAAGAAGAAGAAGAAGAAGAAGAAGAAGAAGAAGAAGAAGAGAGAAAAAGAAAAAAGTGTAGAAAAATAAAAAGAAAAAGACAATAAAAGAGAAAAGAAAAGAAAAAAGAAGAGAAGAAGAAGAAGAAGAAGAAAAAGAAGAAGAAGAAGAAGAAGAAGAGTTTTAAAAAAAGAGAAGAAAAAAAAAAGAGAGGAAGAGAACAATAAAAGACATGAAATAAAAAATAAAAGAAGAAGAAGAAGAAGAAGAAGAAGAAGAGTTTTAAAGTGTGAGGAAGAGAGAAAAAAGAAAAAAAGAGAGGAAGTAGAACAATAAAAGACAT